CATCCATCCATCCATCCATCCATCCATCCATCCATCCATCCATCCATTCATTTTCATAACCACTTATTCCCTAATGGGGTCACAGGGGAGAGGCGGGGTAAGCCCTAGACAGTCCGCCAGTCGATTGCAGGACCACACAGAGACAAACAAGGACGAACAACCACACACACTCTCACAGACACAGGAAGAACATGCAAACTCCACACAGAAAGGTCCTGCTTCCTTCGGGGACTTGAACCCAGAACCTTCTTGCTGTGAGGTGATGGTACTAACTACCACGACACCGTGCCGCTTTAGTAAATTTATAAAATCATACTGATTTGATAAATTAACGCCAAGGTTTTAATGTCTGCGGGAGACCTACATTTACAGCAAAAAAGTTTTGGTATTTTTATAATGGGGGGGGGGGGGGGGGGGGGCTCCTTTTCTTCTTCACTCATCATTTTACCCCCCATGTCTCATCTGGCCTGTGTATTTAACCACATACTGTATAAACTTAAACTTAAAACACTAAATACCGGATAAAATAATATTCTAACCTTAAAATAATGATACGATACGAAAAAATAGGGAACTGATTAATACATAAAGACTGTCAATCTAGCATAAAAATATATTTTTGACCATGACTACAGTTTTTCTATCCTCTAGGTCTCAGTTTTAAACATGCTAGATTCTCAACTTCTTCATGTTATCATAGTCAGACCTACAGCATTTAACTTTAAAACACAATAACTGAATTTGTAAAATGGTATACTATTAATTTCAAGCTATATTGTAAATTTAACTCTATTGCATTGGTTCAAATATTAATTAATTAATATTAATTAAATTATTTTTTTAACACTATATTCTTTTTAAATATACACAAATTCATTGTTTTTCTTGTTACAGATTTTTAATGTCAATTTTATGGCACATTAATGTTTATTTCGCAGACATTTCTTAAAATGCATCCATCCATCCATCCATCCATCCATCCATCCATCCATCCATCCATCCATCCATCCATCCATCCATCCATCCATCCATCCATCCATCCATCCATCTATTCATTATCTATGCCACTTAGATACTTGATACTTATTTAGCCATAGTTTCTGTGATTCATTTCCTGTTCGAACACGCAAAAACGAATCGCATGGATGGAGTAAACTACTTGTAGCTAATGCCTGTGTTCCCCCCCCCCTGCTCCCAGCTGATTTCTGGTCTGCTCTTGGTGGCAAAAAGGAGTACCAGACCTCAAAGAGCCTGCAGAACATGGTCAAACCCCCTCGTCTGTTTGGCTGCTCCAACAAAACCGGACGACTAATTGTAAGTCAGGAAATTGAACAATAAATGCAGGTGTAATTGTTTTTACAAGCATTTAACAGATATGTGTAAGCAAGTTTATTTGTGCTGTGTTCCAGGTAGAGGAGGTACCAGGAGACTTCACACAGTCAGATCTGGCCACAGATGATGTCATGATCCTGGACACCTGGGATCAGGTAATGGGCCTTCCGTCATAGTCAAATCCAAATCAATTTGGCATTTGAAATGTTGCAGTCTCGGAACACACAATTTTGATTTGTAGTTCATTTTATATTTTGCTGCTGACTGTCAGAGTGTGTGTTTCTGCTCCCTATAGCTCTTCATTTGGATTGGCAACGATGCTAATGCAGAGGAGAAGAACGGAGCTCCAAAAATAGGTTGGTTGCACTACAACTCTAAAGGGAGAAACAAATATAGAATATGCTGCACCTCATCAGATACTTCCTGTCAAAAAGCATCTTGTTTTTGTAACAGCTGGGGCTGGGTCAACCTTTCAAAGTTTATTTTTCCCTTAACATGGTAGTGATAACTTATTGTAAGAGGGTGTGAGCTTCTTGACAAAGGGCTCATAACAAAGTGAAAGACTTTTTTTCGCATTTCCTCCTTTTTAATCTGTATCCCTTTTGTCTATCTCTTTTTTTTTGCATGCAGCTAAAGAGTATGTGGACTCTGACCCGTCTGGCCGCAAAGGACTGCCCATCACAACCATTAAACAGGGGGCAGAGCCTCCAACATTCACTGGCTGGTTCCAGGCTTGGGATCCCAAGATGTGGGAGACAGATCCATTGGAAAGAATCCGTGCCCGTTTTTAAAAAAAAACTCATGCCCTATAGATCCTCCTTTCATTCTCACTTTTGACCAATCCAACATTCCATGGTCCTGAATTTTCTGCTTAAGTCCAGTCCCTAAGTGCCAATAACAAACGTATCGCAGTTATCAGGTGAAATAGCTACCACTATGCCTTGAATTAGATGTCATAAATAAGAATGCATCACAGCTGTAGTCTTGAATGTCTTATCGATCTTTTGCATCCAGCATTTGTTGCCTTCGTATCTTCAGGAAATATTAACCGAAGAGCTAGGTTTAAACAGCCTGAATCTTTCTCTGCTTGCTTTCCTTGCTTTGGCAGATCTGCGTTAAAAATACATCACTGTACTTTCTTTATGTCCCAAAGTCTTTTCTTATTGTACCAGCTCATCCACCTTTATCCCGTGTGTCTGTATGGGTCATGTTACATCATCAGTGGTGGAAGGAGGTACCAGCCCCTTTCCAAAAGTTGCATGCTGGACATTTTTTCATCTTCTGTGCTTGTGAATAAAAAAAAAGATTGGTTTGTAAACCTCTTTTGTACCAATTCCTTTTTGCCTGCACTGTTCATACAAATTGTTTTTGAATTAAGGGTCAAGTATAAAGATTAAGAAAGAAGAGGAATCCAACGGATACATGCACAACACAATGAGCAAACATCATTAAAAGAAGACAGAAAACACAAACTTTCAGTTTTCAGATTTAATTGATTCTCCATCCTCTGTCACCCTCTTTCTGTCTTGGAAGCAGAGATTGGGGTCTTGTTGCAGGTTGCAGTATTTGTCGTAGCAAAAGGAAGACACGAAAGCTTAGTTCACAGCTTTGCTGTACAGATTTTATACAGCTTTCTTTTAGAGCAAAAAGGAACATTTTAACTTAAATGAGATTAATTCTCGATGTTGATTTGTGGCTGCACTTAGTAGTATGCAACCTAGATCTGTGTAAAGGAAGAATCTCTGGTATGCTCTGTGAATTTATGCAACCGTTTGTTTTAAAAAATGTTCCCAGGAGATTTTTTAATAATTGACTTAAGACATTCTTCAGAGTTATGCGCGTGTCTCACAAAGCAAACATGTACAATGAGTAACCTTGGTAATCAGAGAAATGTATCCTCCAGTTCAGCCACTGAAGCTCATGTGTAACGAAACCACCTTGAAGGATTTAAATGAGTCAGATTAAACACATATGTGTGTGTAGTAGGAAAACACTGATCTAAACATGCCGTCAGTGTACATCTCAATACAACAGTGGAGTGAGAGAGGGAATGTTTTCAATTTCAACTTTTGGAAAATATGTGGAGGAAGCTCACTGGGATAAACCAGATAGTTTCGCTTGACCCTATATTCTGAAAGGTTTCTGAAAAATAAGAATAACAAACACTGGATAGAAAATATTGTTCATAGAAAATGGTCTTGTATGACAATAAATGATAAAGTTATTTTAAAAAATCATGTTAAAATCAAGGACACCGAATGCTTAGGGATATATAAAAGCTATATTTATCTAGGAACAATCGCTTGATGTCAAGTGAACACCTAAAGTGAGATTGTAGCCATTAAATCTTCCTTTAAATAGCCCTGAGGGCTGTCCTCACAACAGGGGCGCTATTACAGGCATTCAATGACACAGTAACCTGCATTACCAGCAACTATTGCAATGCGGTGGCGCTCCACAGATCTTTCCCTGGTCTAGTGTTGGCTCGCAGGGCATAAAGCTCAGCTCTATTCGGTCATGTGATTCCTGTTTTTTTTTTTTTTTCCTCCTTCGAAGTTGAAAGGCAGGAGCAGAGCGGTGGAGGGGGCCCAGCTTGCCTTCCTACTCGCCGTTGATGCAACGCATTTCGGCTCTTTTCGGCCACATTTGTTTTTTTGTTTGTTTCTCGCTCGGTGTGATATCCTCACTCCAGACATCTCCTTCGCGATGGCGGGGGCTATTATTGAAAACATGAGCACCAAAAAGTTGGTGATAGTGGGAGTTATTCTGCTTTTGTTCCAGGCGTTTTCCTTCATGGTCGGCGGTTTAATTGGTAAGTTTTTCCTTCCTCATCCCTCACTTTTATCTTCTCACAAGCTAATGCTCGGTTGCGTGCGCGCGCGCCCATTGAATTGCCTGAAAACCGCGAGAGAAAAAAAAAGGTAGAAAATTTCAAAGTTTTAAGTTGCGTTGTTCGTCATACACCTCTCCGAGTCGGTAAGAAATGTTTTCTTTTCTTAGACATAAACCGAGGGGCGCTAACTTTTAGCTGTATTCTATCCTCCTGGGTTCAAACGACCGTGTATCTTAGGTAAAATCACAGCTTCGTATCAAAGTGTTTGCTGCCTGCACGTCGCGAGCGGTGGGTTCGTGATATTGGATCAAATCTGTTCGGAAAACATTCTTTTTGGGTCGTCTCTTTTGAAAGAAAAAAAAAAACGCCCAACCTTTTGTGTTTTTTTCTTACTTCTTTGATCGAAGTGTTCTTTTCCCCCTTCTCTGAGCACACCTCATCCCGCCCCCCCCTCCCCTCGTCCCATATATAATGTCTGTCTGCTGTTTGGGGCCCGAGGCAGCATCTCTACCTTCCTCTCACTCCCTCCGTGTGTCTGCCCTTCCCCACGAAATCCCCATCTTTTGGCAGAATGAGCACTCCTGTTTCTTCTTCTAGTCTCAATAGCATGGAGACAGACAGGCAGTAGGGCACAAAAACACACGCAGCTGTCAAAGTTGCATTTTGCCTTGAGGTCTGAGAAGGAGTTGCTGTCAAGTTTCTTCAAATCCACCCACTCTTTCTTTTTCACGCACACACACACACACACACACACACACACACACACAAACTCACTACACTACATTAAAGAGGTTGAGCTCTTGTGAAAGATGCCTATCCTTCTGTTGGGCTGAATCTGGAAATGTCCATCCGTCCATCCCGCCACATTACAGATAAATTAGCTTGTTTGGCTCTTTCCTGGCTGAGATGGTTTTAATGAAGGCAGATTCCTTTGTGTGTGCTCGGTGGCCGTGGGGCTGCGGGGGTAATTGAGAAGAAAGAGGTTTTTCTCCTCTTGTTTCCCGACAAACCCGAGAACACTGCATGGGGTCAGCGGACTGAAGGGATGGTCATTATTCTGGACACACTGCCGTGGAGACTGGAGTAGTCGGTGTGCTGCTGGACCCGCAGGGTTGCTTGATAATTGAATTCCTGAGGGGTTTCAGATAACTGGCTTTAATCTTCTTTGATCATTCTCCTTTGTCACTTTGTTTGTATTTATATGCATGCATTTCATTTGTATTTCACACAACTGTTAAGACCCACTCGGAGATCACTCATGCAGAGTTTTATGTACTCATGGATACTTGTTTAATGTGTGTGCATGAATTTAGTGTCTGGCCCCTATTCGGTGTGTGAGTAGAAACGAATCAGATCCTGATTACTTATATCATGTATGCCATCAGACATTTGCAAATCCCCAACTGAAATGGAAAGCTTTGCTTTCAGTCGTCTTTGATATGTCGTTAATCTTTGTCTGAGGTGGATCTAAAAGATCAAGGCCGTCTACCCCCATGACTCAGATGTTTTCCACAAGCACCCTGGATGAGTATTACAGCTTGTGGCGTCTAACCAGACACGTCTGCGAAAATCTTGACATAGTTAGGGGTCAGACATTTTCTCGGATTATTTGTTAGAGGTTTGCTTAAAGTAGTCAAAAATATCTCCATGGTTATTTTTAAGGTTTGTTTGTCTTTAAAGAGGCTTTTATACAGTGTAAATCTTCCAAGGGTGTTTTCTCATCTGTTTTGCCTGTATCAGTATGGTCACGATCATGTTGACATAAACCTAAATTGGGACCTCGGAGCAAACCTTACAGCAGAACAAGTTGGTGTATGCTTTTTAGTTTGTATTTGATAGTCAAGCTCTGTAAGAGACTTTTGAGCTCAGTTGGTACATTTTTGTTTTTTTTTTCCTCCCCAGTTTTGAGGGTTTACATAACTCCCAGGTGCCTGTGTGTTCTGTATCACAGCCCGCTTGTAGCTCTGGGAAGCACCCACGTGGTCCCATACCATTTTTTTTTCTTTCTATGCTCTGTTGAAAAAAATAAAGCCTGATCTGCTCTTCTGAACATACAGCTGTGCCTGTAGCAGTCAGCTCGGATCAGTATTGTTCTTTTGTAGGGTTTTTCTTAATGGTTATTGCATTCATCAAGGGATTTGAGAGGCGATGATTGCTTCTAAAGGAACTGCAATAGATTTTTAAAGATGGATTATTGTCTGATTTTAGTTACTGCTGTGAAAAAAGTACTTAACCCTTTAATTGTCTTCCATTTATTAATGTTTTATCGTCCCAGGTCAAACTGGCCTGGACTGTTTTGAGGTATAAAATAACATTATTTTTGTTGTCTCATTCTTTTTAGTAAACATTTAGGTTTATTTTAGTCATATATGGTATGATAGTCATCGTTTATATACAGTTGTACCTCACAGGTACATGTTAAAGTTTGGTCAGGATATTGATTTGGAGCCATGTCAATATCTTTTTTTTAAGGCAGACAATAATCAACCCTTCTGTAATTTTGGGTTAAAGGGATCAAATGTTATTTGACTCTTTTACAAACCATGAAATATAAGATGCTGACACAATTCATTGTTTTACCTGTAATTTAACTTGATTCCATCACCTTAGCAGAAACTCTACATTCTTTCTATTTTATGTGTAAGTGTATGATTAGACCTTATTTAGATACTATTACGCCTAATTTCTATTTAAAACACAGGACTTATGAATTGGGTTGACTATAGTGAGGATCAGAGGCATTGATGGGGATGTTTTATGACAGTTATGTCAGTTTAGTCAGGATTTTTCTTTTTTCTTTTCAAATATTTATGTATTTTTAATGGCAGCAGAAAAGACTGCATTGAATCATTCATGTTCAGAATTCGATTTAGAGGAAAACCAAAGTTACAAAGTTATATTACCTGTATATACGACAACAGAGGGGTGAAAGAAACCCTGACTATCCGCACATTCCAAAACTTCAGTAACTCTGATTTCCATTATACTCATCTAATTAACTTTGGCTATCTTGACATACAAATGGCTACCTGCCAGTAGATCCATCATAACTGCCACAGGAGCTAGTGGGATGTCTCTTGTGTCCTATCCCCAGTTAAGTGTCGATGATTATCTTGAGGCTACACCTGGACCTTCAGAGCCCTGGTGCTGTTCACATTTGATCTCTACCTTTTACAACAGGAGAACAAAGCTTTTCTGTTGTTGTGATAATGGCGGATCTTTTCCCAAGCGTCAGTAAAATCCTGTGAGCAGACTTGCCAGGCTCATGAATCTCAATGCGTAAACAGTGTAATTGGTGCCTGAGAGTTTTCGGGAATCCCCCCCCCAACCCCAAACATTTCAGAGAAATGTTGAGCCTTGCTGCCAGGCATTGTGCAAACACCGCTAAGAGTAATTTCCAAAGTGTCCGGACTGATTTGACTTGAACTCATGTTGGTGACTGTTCCGAATGGTTGCTAAGATATTAATTTTGGCCTCCACGTTTGAATCTTTATGGTTAATTTATGATTAATTCTGATTTTATTCTGTTTGTGTGATTTATGCGTTGGAGGGTAATTTTGGCGCACCGAGGAATTGAAACGGCTCGCCGTCGTATTTCAATGTGACACCCAGTCTAACATCACACCCTAACATCTTTCTGCTTCTCTTACCAGCTCCCAGCCCCACCACCGCAGTCCACTACCTGGCCACAAAGTGTGTGGACACCATCAAGCACAGACAGGAATCAAAATGGTTCATGCCATGGGGTCCCAACCAGTGTGACAAGATCCGCTCCTTCGACGATGCCATGGCCAAGAGGATCGAGGCTAACAACATTGTGTTTGCTGTCCACATCCCTCTGCCCAACAAGGAGATGAGCTCATGGTTCCAGTTCATGCTGGTCATCCTGCAATTTGACATCGCTTTTAAGATGTTCAATCAGATCGGTGAGAGCCAAAGCAGCATTATAAGTTTTCTAAACAAGGAGGGGCTCATATTTGCCCTCCAGGAATCTTCTTTACAACATTGTGCTGGTGTTCCCCTTTTGCTGTGAAGCTCTTTTTCTGTTTGAGCTACCTTTTCTTCTTCTCTTTTGTTTTAGATATAACAAACATTTCTGTTCCTCGTATTCCTTAGAATATCTTTCTGTTTTAAAAGGCTCGCAGAAGTTTATTGTGACTAAGCTAGTCACCCTGTATCCATTTGCAGACTTTTCTCTGGTATTATCTTACCTGCTCAGCTACACATTGTGAACTGTTTTTGTTTGGGGTGGCTCAATAAAGTCTTAAAGGTGAATGCCGGAGGGATTCACAGAAATTATTATTTGTCAGGGGATTGGATTTGTTGCACTAAAAAGTGGCAAACAATGATGGATATCCTCCTGTTCGTTCATTAGAGCCCCACTTTTTGCTTTCCTAGCAAAAATTAACTTGTTTATCATTTAAAAAATGTTCCTGCTTCTTTTAGTTAATGTCTAAATACATTTCTATGCGATAACGTCAATGAATGATTCACAGCAGATCAGTTCGATGAAGTTCCTGAATTAGAAAGAGGCAGCATATGCACTGTTTAAAAGCAACAAGGTTTGTTACATAGAAAAGATTGCCCATGTCCTGACATGACCAGAAAATCCAGAGAGCCTTACTGTGTCACTTCTTTCGTGCCTGTCTTTGGAATGGGAATATAAAGCTTATCTGTGCCGTCAGGCAGCCTGGTAACTAGCTCCCATTTTTGGCCTTGGTTTGGAATGCGTTTTTAGTCTCTGAGCTGTTTACTGGATGCTGACAAACAAATCAGTGCTTCAGCCTCACAGATGCTTCAGACTTATACTCCGAAGAGCCTTGAAAGTAGGTGGATGGAAAGCGCATCGAAGAGATTTGACACCCATTTGAACCCTGTGTTTCAAAGAAAAAGCAGGATTTCTTGATCAGGTTAAAAAATAGTGTTCAGAGAATGGGATAGAGGTATTTGCTAACTGACCTGAAAAAAGTTTGGCAGAGGAAGTTTATGTCCTCCTCTTTTGCAGTTTAAAAAAATCATTTTTTGGCAGTTTTGGAAATGAGGTCAAAGTTGGCAATAGTGAAAACAAAATATTTCCCAGATCTTGTGTAATTTTGAATTTCAACTCTTTCCAAATGTTCTTTTCATGATTCATCAGATGTATTTAAGTGGGAGGAATTTTTTAAAAATGACTACAGAGCATCATACACAGACATCTTTGTTAAAACTAACTTAAAATGCAATCCGTTAGTTGAAAAAAGATCTCCACATCTGGTACATTTGTGGGTTTTGCCACAAGTGTAACAGGCGTCTGTGATTATTTATAATGATTTAAAAAATGTGGATTCTATCCACCAACAATATGACAGATTTAGTCTTTTTCAAAGTGGATTGTGGGTTTTCACCTTTAACACTGAGAATGTAGCAGCCATGATTTCCATAAGAATTTAACATTCCTCATCAGACAGAAGAATGTTCATGTTTTTCCATCTGTCTTTTGTCTTATTGTGTCGTCATGTTAGGATTTTTGTAAATACAGTTGCAAACTAATAAAGCCTCAAGCAATCGGATCCGTAAGACCCTAAAAAGTTCTGGAAAGGAATTTCCACAGCTCCACATTTAAATGTTATGACTGCAGTTATCTTTGACCAAATGGTTCCATTTTCTTTGTATTGTTGCTCCATAAATACACATTTTTGAGCTGTTCCCTGCTTTAGGAGACCAAGTTATCTCTGTAGAAGTTTATGTGAGGAGTGTTATGTGTTAGAAAGGGTTATGAAACCAAACCCCATTAAAAAAACTGAGATAACAGCAGCAAAATGCCAAAGGAAAGCACTCATTTGTTAAGAACTTAAGATCGCTTTAATTGTAGCTTTTAAATGACCATGTTTTCTTTAAAAATGTTATTTAAAGATAAAGTAAGGCTAAAAATTGTTAAAATGTTAAGACATCCATATCTATCAGAAACAGTGACCCTCAAAAGTTCCTTTTCAATCAGCGGATGTCCCTGCTGTCAAAACAGACTTTAAAGCTTTTAGAAATATCAGTATTTGGTGAGTTTTAAGGATAGAATTTCATTTTAGTTAGAGTTGTTATTTTATGTCAGTTGTATTTAGGTAAAACTTTTAGATTTGATTTGTATTAGAGATGTAAAGTTTAAACAACTGTTTTTTTTTGGGGGGATAAACTTATTTGAATTAATTGTGATGGGCTTACTTGTGAAAACCTTTGATTGCCTAAACCAAAACCGATCCAGAAATTTGAGCATTTTTAGTTGTCAGAAACTAATTTGGTGCCAATCCTTGGACATGTTCTGTCTTAAAACTTCACGGCTAATGACCACAAAGGCATCTTTTCCATGAGCGCCAGATCTTTGTAACGATGTCGGCCTCAGAGAAGAGCTCAGGCCTTAATAACCACTCCACCCAGGCACCAGGCAATCCTTGGCCTCTGTCCAGCAATAACACAGCTGTTGAGAGGGCTTAGTTTCCGTGGCAATGGCCGCTGGACAGCAGAGGAATGCTTGCATGAAGTAAGCTGACATTTAAGGGCATCTAGATTGACCAATGGCAGGGTGGAGGACATTACAGAGATAGCCGGCTGGCAGCTATCATCTGGATCCGCCCTCCTCTTTGTCTCCCTTTTATTTATTTAGTTTTTTTTCTTTCTTTTTTTTTTTTTACTCCTTTCTTCCAGCAAAGGCCACTGAGTTCCTTTCTCTTCGCTCCTGGTTGTTTCATAACAGCACAAGAGGCTCTGTGGAGGACTTGAGGAGAGAACTCTTGGCCTTGTAATATGATCTGAAGATGCAGTTTTAATAGCCCGCCTTGGAATCTCTTTGTTGGACTGTCTGGGTTTGGATGTTGAGAGCCAACTCAAGGTCTAATTAAAGTTTATCTAAAGTAAAATAAATCCGGGCCACCTCGGAGAGCAGACTTAATGGTGAATAATTTTGCATACATGGAAATAATCCTGTGAATGAGCTTAAATAGTTTTAGATATCAGGGCTGCATACTACCTTATCATGTAGAAAATAAAACATTTAAGTGGATAAACTATTCCTGGATCAGAAATTAATTAAAATAAACATAATTTTCATTCTCATGATCTCAAATTAGTCTGGAATTTTAGATTTGACATGAGTCTCTTTGGAAAAAACTGAGCTTCACACGTTCCGATTTTTAACGCAGAGTTTCAGCACTAGAGTTTTCCCTTCTTTTTAATGAAAGAGGCCATGGACGTCTGTCACCAGAACTTAATTCCGTTTCATTGCAAGTATGAAAATGGACAGATCGGTGCAGGTGTGAAGTGTAATGCACATCTGAGTACAGACATGTGAATCTATTAGTCAGTGCATTACTCTGTGGAATTTTACTCTTGCTATTAATGCGGGTTTGCGTCTGAGCAATTATACAATCCTTGCTAAAAGGAGAATCGTGATTCTGTTTTCCAGAGGATGGAGCAATGGTCACTATTGACGTCGGCCTGGCCTACAGAGACGACACAGTCAGCGAGTGGACGGAGATGGCTCATTCCTTCGAACAGAGAAAACTCAGCTGTAACTTTACAACAGCTAAGGTAAACGAACAAAAACTCACAGCCCCATTTTGAATAAATAAATACATTAAAAAGGAAAATATTTGTTCACTAACTGTATCACTACTGTAGTTTCATACTTGGTGGAAAATCTCCACTCATGAAGGCGGTTGCTCAAACAAAAATAACAGCACAATTGTTACTCCTTGATGACAAAAGTGCTGGTTATTTGTACCAGTTTTATCCATATCCTTTTAGCTCACTTGTGCTCTTTAGTTTTCTTTTTTTGTGTGTTGGGGAAAAGAAATTCTCCATTATTCACACCTGCACTTCACTTTATAATAATTATAGAGGCTAGCTTCTTAGCCGAGCAAACGTGCTCTTGTTATTGAGGCTGCAGTTTAAGAGTATCTAGATAAAGCTTTTTAAAGATATTATGGTCTAATAATGCAACTGATTTAAATTGAGATTGTTTGAGGGTTTAAATGAAAAGACAAAAGCGCTTCAATCACAAGATCATCAATGCTATCCAAATCCTCAAAGGTGAATAAATTAATGTTTGTAACTCAGTAAGATCACATTTTCTGAAAGGTTCTCTTAGACTAAAGCTAAACTTTTAAAACAATGCATGGAAACATGATGGTAAGACCACCCAGAGAACCAGCCTCAAACTAATTAGCCTCAAGGCTAATTTCGTCTGCATATGCTATATCTTTTTTTTCTGAAAGTTTCTTTTTTAAAAATCAAATCCTGATGTATATTAATCCATCTGAACCCAATAATGTTGAATTTTATTATAAATTATTTAATCAAGTAAAAAGTTAGGTTTGTAATCAGTTCACATTGGCAACAATGACCAGGCAAGTTGGTAGCAAAGGGCTAATTAACTATCATAATACATTCTCTTGAAATGATTAAAAACATTAACGTTCATGCACAATATACACACTTTCTTTATATAAAGGTTTTTTACTCGTACCTGCTCAGTGCAGCTTGGCGTGGTTCCAAATAGAGTCGAGATGATGGCAGACTGCCAGCTGCCGATTGGCAAGAGAGTCACATGAATCAAAAAGGTGACTGCTTTAAGTGAACCTGCCTATTTTAAAAACGTGGCAACAACAAATTTAATTATTTCTGATTACCAACGCTGCAAACGCCTACTACATGGACAAACACCGAGGTCCGGCTGGTATATAGGTAACGGGATGTCCTTCCTTGTGCTCGTTTCAAATCACAGGCCGATTGGCCCGTCTTTCTGTGAGGGCCTCTTTTGTCATGGAGTTGTAGCGAGGCGATCATAGTTGTGTAGAATTTAGTATTGGGTGAATTAACATTTCAGAAGCTGTTTGAGAATCGGCCTGTGATTTTAACCGGATTTCACATTTTTACAACTGCTCCATCAAGTGACAATTGTCATCATTTAAGCTTACTCTGCCATGAATTCCCTTTATGTCCATGCGTACCGAGACTGTAAAATGTTTACTCAACTCCAAACTTTAGCTTTCGACCCTTTTTAAATGTATTTCTAAGGATGTGACTGAGTTAGCAGTGCTAGCTAACAGCCTTCCCTTCCTAAAGGAAAATATCCACCTATGTGCTGAATGTGTGTCGCTTCGATCCATTTAGATGCACCACCAAATCCCTTCTATCTCGCTTGCTGCTGTCCGTGCAAAGATGGTTTTAGCCCCCTCTGAAGCTTTTAAACAGTTTAAGAATCTGCCTTCCTCTGTTTGATCCAACATGCCCCTGTGTGATTGTCTAGACCCTCGAGAATGAGGGCCGCTACTACGAGTGCGATTTGCTGCCATTCATGGAGGTGGGGAGTGTGGCCCATAAGTACTATCTTCTTAACATCCGGCTGCCGGTCAACGAGCGCAAGAAGATCAACGTGGGGATCGGGGAAATCAAAGACATCCGCCTCGTCGTAAGTTGACAGACATAAGAGCCTCTTGTTTCTGCTTTACAAAAACAGACCTTTGATCACTGAGCGAAAACTTTGTTAGCTTTAGCCCACATTACACAGTTGACAGTTATTTCTAATTAAATTTATTTCCCTAAAGAGCATCCATCAGAACGGAGGCTTCACCAAGGTTTGGTTTGCCATGAAGACCTTCCTTACACCCAGCATCCTCATCATCATGATCTGGTACTGGAGGCGCATCACCATGCTGACCAGACCTCCTGTCCTCCTGGAGAAGTAAGGCTCATCCTTCTATTATGACATTGTTAAAGCGGCTGAAATGTCTATAATGCTTACTTTAAATAATTCTAAGTTGTGCTGATATATTCTCAGTCCCCTCAATAGATGACTTGTATTAGCAACCAAAGCTTAGTCTGTCAATAGTCACTAATGGAACGGAGTGGGCACTATCAGTTTGCTAAAACTGCTGTACCTCAGCCTCAGTATGTGTACTGGAAGTTTGTACATATTAATTATAGATGAAATGAACAAGTAGGTCATGCTTGTGCGCAGTGCAGGTCAGAGAGTGACGTTTATCAAGCATCTCACGAGGGATATTGTGCTGGACTTTTGGCCATGGAGACTGCAGTGTTGACATTAACAAAACAAATGTGCGAGACAAAATGGAAACGTTTTTTCGATTACACTCTTGCCAGCTAATAAATGTCAATGTTTTGTAGAATTCCTTAAGCAAATGTTGAAAAAATGTGGCCCCATGATTCCAGCGCACGTCCCTGGAAACGGGATAGTTTTGAAAAGCTAGGCTGCTCGCAAAAACCTGGAACTGTGCTCGGAGCCCACTGTTTGTGTAACCGCCTGTCGTGCTGGGAAGATGCATCAGTAAGAGACATCGTTCTGTGCCACAGGGTGCGCCCAGCCAGAGCATGAAACGCACTTCAAAATCTGCAAGCCAGCACTCAACACACGGACCCCATACGCAACCACGCATGCACATGCTTACACACACATACACGCGTACACACTGAGAGTCTCTCCGTCTATCCATCATTTCCGGCTCAAGGCACTTTATTCCCAGATGACCAGCGGGCTCTCAGAAAATGTGTCTCGTATCCTTTTTGAGGACAGCGGATGATTTTTTCATGCTGTAAAAGCTTTACCAGAGTCACTGCTCTTTCTCGCCCACAAAGGTATCAGAATACTAAACCTCAAACTTCCACTAAAAATAGGAAGTTAATTTTAAGGGGAGTGTTTATGAGTTAACTTTTTTTTATGACTTTTTTTTTGCTATAAACTACTAAACCTGACTAACATTAGCAGACAGATTATGGCCCCAGTCACATGTCACAACAGGATGAGCTTTGATGATAGCTCAGTCCATGAAGACATGCCCAGGCATGAAATTTGTGGAAAACTTACTTGATACTCCTTAGCTTTGTCTGATGTCTTTACACGGAGAAAATAGTTTGAAAAACCTTTACTCATATAACCTTGCATAATCATCCTGTTTTCCCTCACACCCACATTCTCTCTGACTTATCGTAGTCTGGGGTTTAGTGACTGTTGCTAGTGCTCAGCACACATTCCCTGCATACCAGTATAATGTTTTCCTTTTTTCCCCCCTCATGGTGGCTCCACAGAACTCACAAGCTGACAAGCTGCCCGGAGTGAAATTGCCCCAAAAATTGTAACAAACTTGTACGTTTTAGTTCACTCTCATCCCTTGCTTTCCTTTTTCTTGGTTTGTCTCTCACACACTCCTGTATGGTTCTGGTGGTTTGCAGAGACCTGCAGTCACAAAAAGCCTCTATCTTTTTGACAGTTTTCTCAGTTTATTGAGCCTTGTTTCTCTATATGATTAATTGTATGTTTGAAGGAGCTTGGTCATAATAATGAGGTTATTTGTAGGTATAAAATCATTATGTACAGCTGCACTGTACCTAAAGAGATAATCCGATCAATAATACAAGATAGAGGGTGCCTGCATCAGCAACTATCATGATATACTATGTATATAGTTTGAAATTATGTCATGGTCTGACCAAACTTGACTTAAAGAATGCATGGATACGTACGTCCAGCTAATGGATTTAGGGATTAAAAAAACAAAATTGATTTAACTAATAAGCATCAAATAGGCTTAGTGCTAAGTATAGCTTGACTAAAGAGCGCATGTAGCTATGCTTATTTACAACCTTAGTTTGTAACACTGACCTCGTTATAAAAGACTTAGTTTCAGCCTCTAAAAAGTAGTCTATTGGTTAAACAACCAGAAATGTCATCTGCCAAAGCTGGACCTAATCTTTAAAAACTTTATCAGACCTCTTGAAGACATTTCTTCTTTATTTTTTTAATTTTTTTTTTGTTTGTCCCCCCTTTCTTTCAGGGTAATCTTTGCTCTGGGAATCTCTATGACATTCATCAACATCCCAGTGGAGTGGTTCTCCATTGGCTTTAACTGGACCTGGATGTTGCTTTTTGGAGACATCAGACAGGGCATCTTCTACTCCATGCTGCTCTCCTTCTGGATCATCTTCTGCGGGGAACATCTCATGGTACCGTATATAGCTTCACTTTAAAGATTAACTCTACATAAAATCGAAGGATTCGTTTGATAAAGGACATTAATGAAGCATGTGTTGAAAGCTTATGGAGAGAAAAATCAACTGTGTAGTTGAACACGTGTGGAACCAGATGATCTGAACAAAAAATGTGATTACCTCTGTATTCAAAAAGGCTCCTGAGAATCCTTTTAATTTCTGTCCATGGATTGACTGATTTGCCAGTCTACATCAATGCATTGATCAGTTCATGAGGTTTAATCAATATATTATCCATTTATTTAAACAAAATATAGGTCTATACATAGAAAAAAATATTTTCTCAGTGAAGAAACAGAGGTAGAATGGAATAAGATCCAGATGTTCCAGCTTTTTACTTGCAACTAAATGCACAACAGATGGGTGAAAGTCTAAGGAGTTAGATGTGTGAAAAGAGACAAAACTCAGGTAACCTCTAAACTGATCTGTGAGCAAATGTAGTCTGCGATGTGCACATCAGTGGATGTGTGCACTTGTATTTAAGGGGGCTTTTTAAACGGCAAGTGCTTAAGGGTAAAAATCTGCGTGTAAAGGATTAATGTTGTTTGATTTTGTTGTTTGGAATGTTTGTGGGTGTACATTTCTAGTCAATTGATGGCATTGGTTTCCTACATATATGAGAAAACAATGTCATCAAGTGACAAAATGGGCTAAGTAATTGGAAGTTTTCAGGGCTGGAAGTTGTAGGTGGAGTTTTAATGCTAGCATTTAGGATTCTTTTGCTAGCTGTGTTCTAACATATGTCAGTAAATGTATGTCACTTCAGCACATATTGTTTTTGGCTGTTTTCTGCTGCTGCTCTGTTTTTTATGTATGTCTCTTTGTTCAATCTGTAGGTTCAGTTTGTGCATTTTCTCTGCCTGCGTGTTTTTCCCTCTCACACACACACATCCCTACAATGTGCTGTTCTCTCGATGATGCGTGCAGTGCTCAGGATTTGCCATACAGGTACCTGTGTCTCAGAGAGTACCAAAATGGGTCAAAGGAGATACAAGTGAGGTAAACGCAAGAGGAAGGAAGTTTAGTATGATAAAACTTTCATGAAAAGGGATTTCTATGTCTCAACAAAAGTTAGTCAAGGACAAACGGAGCTTGCTCGGTTCTAGAAGCTCTTTAGACCTTTTCCCATGAAGCCGGTTTAACATATGTTGGATAACTTTTACAGTAGCTAAATGGTTGTTAGAGGCAATATCAAGCATGGTCGCTTTGAATTGAATCAATACGTCCACCTAAGATTCCCAGGTTCAGCTATTAGCATGATCATATAACGAAATGGCACTACATCAACAGAGATTTTTAAGAGGTTCATCAAACCTGAAGACGAGCTTTGACTTTATTTCTGAACTGTTTTTGTCCAGCTAACCAGCAGGCTTGCATGTCAATAGTGTGCTCACACACATGCCTTTTGATCCAAAAGATTTATTTTTTTTTCTCCAAAGAATGCTTCTGCTGCACATTTTTTAACCTCTTCCTTATTTCAGCCTGATGTAAAGAAGCTTTAGCATGCGAAAGACTTCACAGCTGCAGCCGCTTTTCAAGTTTCAGGTGGAAGCCTTTAAGCGTTTAAGCTTCGTGTGTACTAAAGAACAAACAGAAGTAAATATTTGTTCTAAAGAAACTCTGATTGTCTTATTGCATTAGTATTAGCCAAATTAAAATGGTCCATATTTTTGTTGAGAAAACAAGGGCTAAATTCCTTTTTCCTCATTGGCGTTGTTCAAATTGGCTAACCAAACTCTCAAGTTTGATACTTTGTGGAAAAAATGGTTTTGCCCACCTAATACCATTGCCATTTTTGTCCAGGAAATGGACTACTTTCAGACGCCGGTTCTGGGCGGAGGACAGCTGAGGCTGTGTGCAAGCTGCGTACGAGCCATCAAAAGCTTCTTCGGACCTCATCCTCATCCCCAAATAAAATCGCAGGTCACTCTCCGCTGACAGCTTGAAATTGGCCTGGATTGGGGCAGTCATGGAGATGTCCGGATATTTTTTCTTTTTTTCTCTTCTCCTCTGTTCTCAGCATTGGGACCATTGGATGACATCCATGTCTGCCTCAGACAGGATGAACATTTCTTTATCCCTATTCTGCACAGCTTGCTTCTCTCTTGTTGGCTGCTATGGTCCACTCATCACGCCTCCGCGAGAAGAATTTACTTTGCTTACAGGCCTCTGTCAAAGTACCATGCTAAGGTCTGTTCAGCCACAAATGTAGCTGTACCTTTTTAAACGGAATGCTCTGGCCAGAAAGACGTTCTAACTTCATGTCCTCCGTAAGCCTCTAATGGGCCTATACTAAATCAATGCCATAGCAATTGAATAAATCCACGACTGTCTCCAGCTGATTGACAGACAACTTGTCAATCAATGACATCACAGACTCTGACCAATAATGAAATTTTAGTTTTAAGGTCATATGTATCAACATTTTGTAAGCAAACATTCTTAATACGTACCCTGGCGGTCTAGTCCTCAGCTACAGAAGCTCACTCGGCTACATAAGTTTCCTGAGCTAGTTCGCGAGGTTGAGCGGTTCTGGCTAGATACAGTCAGACTCACCTTGACGCACAGCCTGTGTGTCCTCGAGAACTCCTCCACTCTGGTTTGTGAGTTGGTTCAGTTGGTGAGGGAGGTTGTCAGTCTGGCGCGACAGGCCCAGACATGTTATGAGGGTCTGCTGGGAACTTCTAGCGGAGTTCAACAGAGTTTTCAACTCCCATCTCCGACAGAACTTCAACCATGTTGAGTGAAATGGGGGACATTGAGTCCGAGTGGGCAATGTACCGTGCTTCTATTGCCGAGGTGACTGACCGGTGTTGTGTCCGCAAAGTCATTGGTGTCTATCGTAGCGGTAATCCCAGAATTTGTTGGTGGACAGCAGTTAGGCATGCTGTCAAACTGAAAGAATCCTATCGAGGGTTTTTGTGGGACTCCGGAGGCAGCTGATGGGTATCAGCTCTCCCTTAGAGATAGGATGAGAAAAATTAGCCATCCGGGAGGGACTCAAAGTTGACCTGCTGCTTAGAGCCAGATGTGGGGATCTGGGCATCTGGTCAGGAGGCCTCCGGGAAGTCTCCCTGGTGAGGTGTTCCCCGCACGTCTCACTGGGAGAGGGGACCCAGGGGAAAACCCAGTACATGGTAGTGGGACTATGTCTCTGGGAATGCTTGGGATCCACACAGAGGAGCAGGTAGATGTGGCTGGGAGAAGGAAAGTCTTGGCTTCCCTACTTCAACTGCTGCCCTCGCAGCCTCACTCCGGAAAAGCAGAAGGTTGATGAAAAATCTCTTACCTTTGATTTTTATCTCGGAGGTTGTGCCAATGTGGTGAAACTGTATGCAACACGTTTTTTTTTTTTTTTTTTAAACCACAGGATTTTAAGTCTAATGTTAATTCCTGAATGTGGAAATATGTTCTCAGTGATGACTAATAAGGTGACAACTCTCCAGGCACATCATGAGAACAATTTCCCCCAGTAAAATAAGCATTTCGTGGAGTTGTGATATTGTGGTGCTTAGCACACTTGCCTCAAAGCAAGAAGGTTCCCGGTTTGAAACCACCTATCTGTGTGGTATTTGGAGGTTCTGCCTATGTATGCGTGCATTTTCGACAGTTTACCTACAGCTAAATTTCCCCTCGGTGTGAATGTGAATATTTGTTTGTTCGTCTTTGTGTGGCCTTGTGATGGACTGGAGGCCTGTTCACCGTTTACTCCACCTCCTTACTGTGATCTTACTAGGAATCAACACTATAGACGATGGATGGAATTTCTTGAAATGACTATTTTTCTATAAATATATGGCTCTGTTGCCAGAGTTGGTAGATGTTGGTCCGCTGGAGGGATATAAATGGTGGAATGCTGCATATGGCTTTTTCTGTTCATTGCATTTTCCTACGCTCATTCTTTTCAGACTCATATTCTGACATAATCCCAGGATTATTAAGGAAATTAGAGTGTGAAAACATATCATTTTTAATACCCAGCAGCTCCTCTAGGTTTGTGGATATCATTCCTTAACACACACCTTCATGCTATCAAACATGCAGATGTGCTGGACAAGTGAACATTACATGAAGAGTTTGATTTTCACTAAAAGCCTTGCTGCAATAAAGATGTCGAACCCACCTTTTAATGTATTTTTCTTTCTTTTTCTTGTCGTTGTGTATGCTTCTCTATCAGGACCAAACGGAGAGGAACCGTTTTTCGGTCTATTGGAAGCAGGTTGGACCCATCGTCTTTGGCTCTTTCTGCCTCTTCATCTTTGATATGTGTGAGAGGTAGGACCGTTTTTCTTTTGCCTGCTATTTTTTGATTGTCTTGTTATTAAACAATATTACAAGGTAAAAAATTAATCGGTTCAGTAATGTTCAATGTGATATTTTTGTTTAAATCCTATAGTTTTAGTCAAGCTGCATATTGAACATGGCATTGTTTCAGTGCTTATTCGGTGTCATGGCCATTTCTGAAAACATTTTCACTGATTTGACAGTCGGACTATTGCACATCATGGACCCTTCACCACTCATTTGTAGTTAAAAATCCTGTTGTGATCTTTAAACAAGTGGAATAAAAAGGAAAATTCTATTGATGGGAAAAACCTGCTCGTCAGCTATAGTCAGGTAGTGATCATTTGGACTTAAATTACTTCCCTTCTTTTTCTTTTGAGCCAATATTTTTGCTAACAAGAAAATTTAAGTTGTGTGTTTATTGTCAGTTCTTCGACAAAGTGGTTTTCTTAAGGCTACACTACCATGTCCTTATTTTCCGGTTATGTTGTGTGTGGAAATACTCTTTTATCGACAAACTTTAATTTAAAATGACATTCAGTTGTAATGGGTGACCGTATTTTTCCACAAAAAGGTTATTAATTTTTAAACAAAGTCTTTCTTCTGGAGAATTTCCACTTGTATCTACTCAGCTCATCTGTTTGTTGTGACAAGAGATAAACACCTGATTGTCTTTTATTGTTTTCATAGCAATAAAAGCAGAGTTAGCTCTCCTTATGCTATAAGAGATTATTTATAGATTAACTCGCTTGCTGTGTGCCGCTTGCTTGCCCGTCCCTGTAAAACTGTCAGCAGTCGGTTTTTGTTACATTGAAAAGAATACGATCGTGACCTTATCTTCCCGTTTTATGCAAAGGTTGTAAATCAGAGGGCAACTGGTTCTTATCAAACTGGTGAAATCTCTTGATGTGCTTGAGACTTTTGCTTCTCTGTATGTCTACAAATGTGAAATGAAAAAGGCCAAAGCGCCATGTCCATTCCATTTTATTTACCACGGGTTTAAATGTAAGTTCTAATGTCATCGTCAGTGTCTCTGCCTCTTAGCTAAAGCCTCATTTATCCACGCCAGTCTTGTTTAGCCAAGTCTCAGCACAAGGCTTTGAGTTTTCCAACATTCAAAAGGTTCCATGCAAAGATGCCGGACTCATATGATTCTACTATATAAATCATATACATAGCTATTTTTCATGATGGCAAAAATTTCTTTTTTTATTTTTTTTTTATTTTAGCGTGTTTAAGTCAACTCTGGTTCTCAGCGGCTGTTGTTCTGCAGGTTTTTAGATATTTCCCTGCTTCAACACACCTGATTCTCATTAAATGGATCTCTTCAAAAGATGGAGCTCTGTGCAGGACTACAGATGACTTACTGATCTTAATCAGGTGTGTTGAAGCAGGGAAACATCTAAATCATTCAGGACAAGCAACCCGTGAGAACCAGAGTTGCCCACCCCTGGCACACAATCTGTTTGTGACAGCTTGTGGAACACGACAACAGCACCAATGTGTACGGCAGTGTATGTGAAAGGCTTACAGACAATAATTTGCTTCACAACTATAGGAAAAGGCTAATGTTTTTTTAAAGAAAAATGAAAATATCCATTTTAACTCATTGAAATATGTAATTATTTATTTTCATCATTAAGATTTTCTTGGTAGATTTATCTTTTTTTTTTTTTTTTGGGCCAGATGTTATAGATGTGTCACAATGAATCCGTTGAAAGAATGTTGTCTAACTTTTATGACTCACATTATCCAACACTGTTTGATTCCATCGTCTTGACTGTTTTTTTTTCTTCTTTTCTTAATAGAGGGGTCCAGCTAAAAAATCCATTCTACAGCATCTGGGCTTCTGATGTAGGAACTGAATTGGCTGTATCCTTTTCCAAAGGTTTCTAGCGAAATGGTGAACATTCAGACAGATAAAAAGAAAGGTCAAAGAAAAAAAAAAAGGGAAATGTTTTCCTCCCGTTGGCACAGTTTGACTGGATGCCCCCCCCCCCAAAAAGCAAGACATAGAAGCTGATATGATAAGAAATAATTCAGCACTACCATATGTGAGAGGCTTTCTCGGGGTCTCAAGATGGCATATTTACATCTACCTGCCTGAATTTTGCCTTCCTCTCTGATTTGAGTTTTCCTTCTGCTCATCACTGACATACTCTTTTGTCCCACTCCCCCCCCCCCCATTTTATGAATCCCCTTATAATTAGTTCTCTATAGATTGGACTTGAATGTTCCATCTAGCGCTCTGCATTTCAATTATCTACGGAAATTACCGACTTTAGTTTGTGAGTTTGAATGTTTAAATTTGTGAGGCCCTCATCTTGTTGGTTCATTACTTCCTTGACGAGCTCCTCTTTAGATGGCATTCATAATTGTGGCAGGGATCTGCGCCTGCCTCTATTTCCTCTTCCTCTGCTTCATGGTTTTCCAAGTCTTCCGCAACATCAGTGGTAAGAGGACGTCTCTGCCCGCCATGTCCAAGGCCAGACGGCTGCACTATGAGGTCTGTATGATTTAATGTCGATGTTGTGTTCGTTTCAAGCTTTTAAGAATCTGTCTAGTTGTATCTATGAATAATGAGAACACATGTTTTTCATATTTGTTTTTAAAGATATTTCGGTCATCACCCCTTTTTATTGCGTTTTAGGGTCTCATTTTCAGGTTTAAATTCCTCATGCTGGTTACTCTGGCCTGTGCAGCCCTCACTGTCATCTTCTTCATCATCAGCCAGGTGAGTCAACCATGATGGGAATGAAAATCTGATGGATTTGTTGTTTTTCCTTTTCTTTTTTTGGCTTGCAATAACATTTTTCCCCTTAAATTGGCCCTCAGTTCAAAAAGGCTCTCCTTTTATGTCCTTTTATGTGCTCAGGTAAATGAGGGTCATTGGCACTGGGGAGAGCACACAGTGCAGGTGAACAGCGCCTTCTTTACAGGCATCTACGGCATGTGGAATCTGTACGTCTTCGCCATCATGTTCCTCTACGCACCTTCCCACAAACGTTACGGAGACGAGCAGTCAAGTGGTCAGTGCATCACTGGTAACAATGCATTTTTAACTAACCTTTTGTTTCATTTCTGAAAGTACAGAACTGAGTTGGACTCGTACAAGTGGCGATCAGTCAGGATTAGAATCAACCTGCTGCTTGTTGATATCTTTAAAGTAGGGTTGTCCAAAGTATCGATACTCGGAAAAAGTATCGATACTAAAATGTTGTATCCGGATACGATACCCATTTTCAAAAGTATTGATACCACCGCGCGACGCTGACCTGATGTTTGCGCCCCTTCTCTCAGATTTATTTATGTATTTATTTACGTTGTTTATGATCATTAACAAGACGTTAGCCTTGCTAGCAGCGGCTAATGGCTAATAATAACATGCTACCCTTAATCAAGTACATATCCAACTCCGCCCACATCCAAGTCGGCCATTTTGCTTAGGTCACCAATAGGAAGATCCCAGGCAAGAAAATCCTAATTCCTTCATGGCAATATAGACATTAATTTAAATATAGTGAAATGAATCTTGCAAACACTGAATTAAACTCTATCCATAATATTATTTTAAAATAGTGGATGTTAAATGGGTTTGTACAATAAGTCCAAACAAGTTTAACCAAAAAATATTTATTTCTCACAATTATGAAGGCTGGAGGGTTACGGTTAGGGTCATTAATGTGGGCCACCAGCCACGATAACATCAGTAACAGGTCAGTTTGAAATGAAAGACACAATTCAGTAAAATTTTGGGGTCTTTGTTTTTATCCTTGTGGTATCGAAAATGGTATCGAGTATCGAGTATTTTCCTGAGTATCGGTATCGAGTTGAAAATTTTAGTATCGTGACAACCCTACTTTAAAGACATGAACAGATTAACTTTCTTAACACGTCCCCTCACAATACAGTGTTGGATTTAATCAATGTCCTCAGTGAGTCTCACTTTATTATGATTGAGAGCAACTTCTCCAAAGCTGCCCATTCATTCAAAGTCTTTTTTTTTGGGAGGGGAGGGATCCAAATTCCCTGGGGAAAAAAAGAGTCTATTTGGCCCGACAGTGTGATTTTAATGGACACCAGGCTTCCTTCCAGGGAGAGAGGAAGGGAGCGATGAAGACAGGGGGTGGGGAGAAGAGGGAGGAGGGTAATGAGAACCATCCATCCATCCCCTGTCAGTGACGTGAGGGAGTGGAAAAGTTTTGCTTCTGTCTGAGTGAGCTAAAAGCGCTTATGTTAATGAAATTCGGCTAAACCAACTTGACATGCAACAGATTGTAGCCGGCAGCAGGGCAACTGGGGGCAGTGGCTCGAGCCACAGAACAAGCTCTTAAAAAGTTTCTGTCTGCGTCATTTTATCGGTGTTCTTATCGGTGGCAATAATATTGTATATCTTGCAGGAGATGCCGGAGCAAATAGTGGAGAGGACATCCAGCTGACCACCACAATCACCCATGTTGATGGTCCTACAGAGATCTACAAAATGACTGGCAAAGAGGCCCAAGAATAGATTTCACACTGTATCTGCAGCCTACTACTCCAGCGATCTACATGACTAAAAAAAATTCTCTGTTAGTATCCACGGCCCCAAAACGGCATGTATGATCCAGCTTGCATGCAACCACCCCTCAGATGTTGCGCTCTTTACAGCACCGAACCTTAAGCTTGTTTACTTGTTTCCAAACTCCCTATCATATCTGTAAAAGCAGAATATCAACACTCCAATCAGTCTTTTTCATTTCGTGGTGGAATTTTGACACATTTCAGACTTTATGTAAACAGTGCTGCGTTTGTTGCACAATCCTTTTTACTCCAAGTCAGGTACTGAAAAGCTGCTATATGTGGAAATTTCAGTTAAAGGAGAACCCTCCTTTTGGTGGTAAGACGTAGCATTGCAGTAGCTGGCACATCTCCCGTTTTTAAAGTCAAAGCATGGAGATGAACAGCGGATGATTTAGCCTCGTGGTTTGATTGCAGTGCTTACGTTGTGGTTTTCCTCGCTTCACAGATGTCAGAAAAACAAAAAAGTAAATGGTGTGAAGTACTGCTGTCAATCTTAGTCTTTCGTGTCTTCCTTTTATTGTTTCACTGTGGGGAAAATGTACAGACCACATAGTCACTTTGGGAACTCCGTAGTGTATGGTCATCATGTTACAATGTAGATATCTATTTTTTATAAGTGCTCATTTTCAGCTTAATAAAATGTATGCATCAACTAGCCATATTTCTGAATTTGCAGAAATATTACACTTTTTTTTTTTTGCTTTGTATCCTAATTTAATAAAAAAAAACGATATAACTGTTTATTGCTATCCATTTTTTTTTCTGGTTTGAAAGTCTTGTTTTAGATGCCAGTTTTTAGTTTTTTAATTCAAATAAAGGAACAAACTTGGATCAGATAATTTTTTATATGATTGTGTTTTTGGCGGAGTTTCTTTCACATTGTACAAACTTTTCAGCGGCATCAAGGCTTTTTTCTTATAAGATTTTGAGTCCCGAATGTGAGCTGGAATCCCAGCAGGGAGAGTGCGCCTCTACCAGGCTCCAGGCGGAACAAACCTGCCTTTACTTTTCCACATCTGTCAAGTTAGTCAGAACGACGCCTAAATGGGAAGTTGTTTTCTCTGGTTGATTTTTGAATAAAAGATTTGCGACATGTACCATTTTGTCCATTTCAATAATCTCTCTCTCTCTCTCTCTCTCTCTCTCTATCTATCTATCTATCTATCTATCTATATATATATATATATATATTTTTTTTTTTTTTCTTCTAAAAATGTGTTTGTGTATGTAAGATGTTACCACAACATACATTATGACTTTGGCAGCATTTTCACTTTTGTAACATACGAAAGATTGTTTGAAGGGGTCTACTTATTTTTATTTGTTTGATAATAAATAGGTAAATTGTTATTGTGAACAGTCGATGTCTTGTAAAATCGTCCATGGTTGAGGTAAAAAGCATCCTTTTCAATATGTGTAACCAGAACCTTTTCCATTTGAATTACAACAAAACACCGTTTACATCAGTGGCATAAATTTCAAACGCGATCATGTACGAGAGTTACATTATTTTTTAAACGTTACGTATTTTTTTTAACATTCTTTCCACACTCGTGGAAGTTTTATTAATAAACATAACAAACCGTTTCAACTTTAATTCACGAACGGATTATTGTGAAAGCAACCGGAAGTAAGGCATAACGTCTCTCGCGAGTGACAGACTCCGGCGGACGTCCGCCTGTTTTTCGGGCTGGTCCACCTATTTTCTTCCGACAAAATTCGGCTGTTTTCGTCCGAGTCGAGGAGGAAAAGGAAAGGAGCGTGAGCGGTAGCCTGCTCGCACTGACGAACAGGAGAAAGTAGTTGACGGATAAAAACAAAAAGAAAAAAAAAGAAAAACACTGAACAGATAAACAAGCGTAAACTTGGCCGCGGGAAGTGGAATTGGCTGCTCTGTCCACGTACAGATGGTTTTTCCACGGTTTGTGGTGTCAACATAGTGCTGTTCTGACATTGCGCTGCCAGCGACAGAGCGTATAGGGAAGGGTCTCCTCCCAGACTGTTGACGGATACAGTTTGGCTTCAGTCAAAGGAAAAGGCACCCGGGCTTGACTGTGCGGCCAGGTAAGTTTTCCATGTATCGATAAGATGTGAAACCCACAGCGGTCACGAGGCGCTTTTAGCCAAAGCAACAGTTGGTATCAATCTGCTCTTGTGTGACACATATTGACTATCAGCTGCCAGCTCTCTCAGTTTTTCCTCCGTTTGAGAAGCACCACTTCCAATTTCAACCACGAATCGTTGGTGCATATTGAATTATTGCTTTAATTTTTGAGTCGATACAGAATTTATACGTGGAAGTGACAGCTTGGACTGAGGGTTTATTCAGCTCATTGCTTTCCGGGCCTTCATCGCTTATTATTGACCATAGGCCCCACCTACTGTGTTTGCCACCGTGAGACTTCTTCTGAACAGCAAATAGATTTTTCCAGAACAGAGCAGCACACTTTTAGATGTGCAAAGTAACAGCTTCTTTTTAAATCAATGCAATCGAGTGTCTTTCAGTGTTCCTGGTGGAATCAGACTCATGGCTGAAGAGTAGAGCCCTCCCAGGGAAGAGAGGGTGAGATGTTTACATGGGGCATCAACTGCTCTTTTGATGTCCTCGGGCCATTAGGAGGACAGAACACAGACTGGCCATTGATAAGGCCAACTCATTAGTACCCCATTCACCACCATCAAAGCCTCCTCTCGATTCCCATCAACATGAGTGGGTCACACCGTGGAAACTGGAAGCTGAGGATCACACGTTTCCCACCTTCCTGCCGGTGGCCAAAATTTAATTTTGAAGAATGAGCACCCCAAGACAGAGCCCGGTCACATGGAAGTCTCAGATCTCAGAGGAGGTGAAGGGATAAACCGGCAGACATTAACAACATGTTTTCCACTCAAAAAGCAAAGACATACAGCTATGATTTGACTTATAAATCACTGGCAATGCGCGTTAACAGCTGTCTTTTCCTGTCCTGTTTGGTGATGGATATTTTTTGTCATCTTTTGTGGCACAGGATGTGCAGTTGGAGTTGTTGAGTAGGTTAACCCACAGGCTGGCAGGGGTTCATATGCCGTGTGATGCATACAAATTGATTATTGACAAAAGAAGGGGGTAAGTGGTCAGTCAGGAGCTGCTCACTGCTCAGTGCAGAGATTTGATGGAGAAGGAACTTCCCTCTACTATCTATATTTATGTCTGTTTCATCCAATCTCAGTTAAAACTTCAGGAGAAGTTGAGACCGTGTACTGTGAGCAGTTATGAGTTAACAGGCTGCCCTGGAGGCGCCTCGTGTCTCCCTGGACACAGAATGCTGCCCAACTTGACTGGCAGCTCTGAGGACAGGTTTTTTTTTCTCTTTCGTTTTTTGACAGCAGCTTGATGCGGAAGGAAGATGCAGGGGTTTCTGAGCGTCTCATCAGTCAGGATCTGTTTCCTCATACTGCTGATTGTGGAATCCCCGTTGTCCAGAGTTTGTTGAAGTAGGACTGGATGTTTGTAGGTGTACTCGCTTCAGTGTAGGTTTTTTCTTTGGTACTTCCTTAAAGTGCTGAGTGCTTAACAGTATTCCTAATGTGACTCTCTCTCTCTCTCTCTCTCTCTCTCTCTCTCTCTCTCTCTCTCTCTGTCTCACACACAGAGTAGACAGGGTGTGAGCTGAAACTATATGTTGACAAAAGTACATGTTGTTAAATATAATCATCAAAAGTGTTCGCTCACACTCTTTATGCCTTGTTTCTGACTCATAATGATAGTTTAGTCACTAATGGTCAGACTCACATTTCCATCAGGTGTGAGGCAGCCAGCTGCTTTAAAGAGGTGAAACAATTACAACAAAAATAAAAAAGTAGTCAGCAGTTACCTACAGATACTACATATATGCTGGCCTTGGGTGCTTAATTGTAAATGAGATATTTTGTGTTTGTCTAAACTAACTATTCTAAGAAGTAGAATAAATAAAGTCTGAATTGTGAAGATACACTCTATCAGCAGATATCACATAAACTCATTTTTTTTTTAAACATACTCTTTTTTCCCTCCTTATTTATATGTTCCAATATCTTTCTATATCTGTGTTTGCCAAAAAAAGATATTTGTGTAGCTTTGGATTCTAAAAAAGTAGTCTATTAGGACTCATGTTGTTCGGCACCTGATTGAAATTGTCCACATCTGGCAACATTTGTGTTGGATTGCATAATTCACATCACTAGTTTGCATAGATGTCTTTGTTGTGGTTTTGGTCTGAACAACAGAGAGATACCGTACAACCATGTCCTTACACAAAAACACACATACATAAATACAGCAGCCATTTTCAGGGGGGTGGGGTAGCTCCTTAGCCACTCCCCACCCCTCTTTTTTGGTGATTGTATCCTTTTAGAGGTCAGTTGAAGAGCTTTTTCATACCATTTGTGCATTGTTTGTGCACAGATTGAACTCAGAACATAATTAACCCTCCAAGTATGTCATTTTCACACTCAGCAACCTGACCACCCTTGGAAGAACACTCTTGTTGTGAATCATGTATTGACTGTCCAAGGTTTTTTAAGTAGCAGAGAGTCAAGCAACAGTTGCCTGGCAGAAAGGTAAATCCTGGACATAATTGTTAGTCCTTTCCTCTGAGCTTTACTTAAGTTTTCAGAGACTAATCTTAAAAGGATTTTATTTTGTATGGGAAAAGTTTTAGTTAAGATTTAGACAGCCCTAGCTAAAGTATGAGATTATTCTAATGAGTAGACATCTCATGCAACCTAATGAACACTTTCAATCAAAATAAAAATTATTTTTTGTGTGTGGTGAGAACCTTGTAACTGAAAAGTTAAAGACATTTTTTGCAAGGGTAGTAATCAGCTAGTTTTCACTGTTTGTATTCACCTTTCTATCCAGTCAGACTACAGAAACAGCACAATGATAACGGTAGATCTTTGTCCTTTTTCTTAAAAATCAAACACGGTCATTCAATGATTTGAGGATTGTGTAAACATTTTCTAGAATGTCCCCTCACAATGTCTAAGAGATATTTCGATGAACGTAGCTTTCTCAACTCATATTTAGGAGGATCCCTGCTTGTGCACGTTCTCCCCATGTAAAAACATGAATGGCAGAATGATTAATGATTCTAAGCTGACCGTAGAGGTGAGTGTCTGCATCTCGTGTCCGCTCTTGCACCACCCTGACCCAGAATAAGATGAAGTAAGAATGGAAAACAAACAAGTAATTCGATTTGCAGTTGGCGAAGGAAGACATTTCTATCTGGTTAGAATTCTCACAAATGTTTTGTTAAATAATTCTCCAGAGAGTCTTATTAGACATTTGCAAATCAGATATTGTACACAGTATGTGCTCAAAAATGTAAGACTCGTGATATTGTCACACGCAAGAGGCATTTCAAGATGTTCTGCAGCACCAAAAAGCTTGGTGTTTGTTTTGTGTGTGTATATGTGTGTAAGCTCCTTGGTGTGTTGATAGTCACAGGGTTGGCACGCCCAGCAGTGTCTGGGCTGCTTAAATTCCACCCTGCCCACGAGCAGATGCTCTATGTGCAGTGGTGGTGACTCTGTGGGCTCACAGTCCCACCCACCTGTTGGTATGGCAGCAAAATTAAAAGCCTCTCTAAAATACTGAGCGTTGCCCAAACTTTGAAAAAAACAACCCGACCGGGCCAAAAAAAGTTGCAAAGGGACGTAATGACCACAATTCTATTATTTCTACTGGTTTGCTCCTTTCAGGGAAATTAAAAATTTGTGTCTGAAATTTGTGCCTGAGTCCAAAAAGTCCTCATGCACGCATCACTTCCACAGTGAACTCCGATGTACCCGTTTGCCAAGCAGGAAGTGTTTGCTATGGGGAGCATTTCAGAGATTTTCAGCAAGGCGGTGACAGATCTTATTATTGAAATATGTGTCAGATCCCGTTTCACGGTTGCTGCTCTGCAGCTCCGCTCCACTTTTGCACTCTCTGACTGCTTTCCATTTCTGGGACATTCTAATATCTAATTGCATTCATCAGCTTTTTCTTCGGGAAAGCGTTAACAGGCAAGGTAAGGTTGGCCTTACATCTCCATCCAAACATGGAGCGCATGATTCGCTTCACTTTCAGGAATGCTTCTTTCCCCACAATGTCCTCCTTACAACTCCACTTTTAATCTA